GATTGAATTGCGCTGTGAAACTTGGTGATCTCACTGAGAAAGTAGAGTGAAAAATTACGGAATACTGTGAAATACTTTATTTTAGCTGGAATTAATTATCGCTGAAAAAAGCTTTTTGGGTGTTTTGTATGGAATTTATTTTCACTGATTTTTGATTAGTTGCATGTGAGAAATAGGAAAAAAAGTATATTCGCTGGATTTTATTTTCACTGAAGCATCCCTTCAGTGAAAATAAATTCCAAGTGAAAATAAAGTAATATACAGTAGTAGTTTACCCTATAAAGTTAACTTTGAGTCACGTTCAAAAAATATTCATTTATATTTCTCGCTGTTGCGAAAATTTGACAAACTTTTTGATCAAAACTAGAAGCAATGTTAGATTTTGTCTGTTTTATCCCAAATTAAGATTGAATTCAGTGAAAATTACAGAATATGTGAACAAATTTACCCAAAATTGAGCGGGAAAAAAATTTGCACACAAAGGGTTAGGAAATTAATTAGAATAATGATGAACAGATAGAGAGAAAAATAAAACACAATTCCCATGGTACTGAAAAATAAATCTGTCCAAAATTCAGTTATTTTTTCTCTTGCAAAGCTTTATTTACAGGTGAAGTTAAAAATGAATGTTTAACAAAGAAATTACGTTCGCAGTGCACATGTTTTAATTATTCGGTCTATTATAGGGAGAAAATATAATCTTATGGCTGGTAAATTAGGGCAGTGATAAACAACATTACAATGATGGTGCACTGTTGTGGTGGTCTTTTAACAAAACATTTAGACTGGCTGAAACAAAAGAACATCTGCAATATGGTGTTCTACTGTTTTATGTCTGTTCTTCACATGTCATTGTGTGTGGTCAGTCTGCTCGCTTTGGTCACTCAAGCTGCTCAGTTATCAGGGCACTTCTCAAAAACAGGAGTAACTGAGTGTTTTTTTGTTAAAAGTAGAAAAATCAAAATTCTGTGTTATCAATAGACAACAGACATTTGCCTCATGATTTTTTTAGTCGCAGGTTTTTTTTTGTTCTGATGAAATAACCAGTATTACAAAAAAGTAAGAAAATACAATTTATAAAAAATAAAAATTTTATGATAGCAATCTGTTTTGTTATTTTACAACAAAAAAATTTAATGAATTAAATTGTGGGTTTTGAGGACTCTCTCCTCATCTCCTCTATCTCTACTTTATCTTCTTGATATGAAGAACAAAATGCCCGTCTCAAGTCAGTATAGATGGGTAATTGTCTCATAAACTTGTGTAACAATTCTTGTTGACACATTTATTTCCTAGACATTAATTATGTTATTAATTATCATAATCCAGAGTACTGATAAATACTGAATAGACGTTTTGGGTGTTTTGTATGGAATTTATTTTAATCGATAATTTTCACGAGTTGAATGTAAAATATAGGAAAAAAGGTATATTCGCTGGGTTTTATTTTAACTGAATCATTCCTTTGGGCGAAAATTAATTTCAAACGAAAATAAAGTATTTTACAGTGATCCCTGTAAAGTGTGGGCACCTCTCATTAATGTATCTGTTACACACTAACAATCACAAAATATAGGTTTTAGTAAAACATCTGTTGCCATGGTGCCAGAATGTGTAATATTTTCATCAACCTATAATTATGACAATACATTGTAGTTTACTTAATTGATCGGTTCTGATTTTTACCATTAAATATTTTCCAGCATGGAATTTAAAAATATTTAAATTTTTTGTTGATTCTCAAATTACTGATTTTTCATTTTAATCACTGTAAGGTGAACATTTTAATAGTATATAGAGCTTATTTATTCGCTGGGTTTTATTTTCGTCTCGTTGTTACCTACCGTGGAAAAAAATTCTAAATGGTGGCCACCTTGGTTAAAAGGCGGTGGTCGTAGTTTCGCATCTTGTTTGATATGGAATTCATATCGACGTACACAATACGACCGTTCAAAACAAATTGTTTATTTACATGAAATTCCTACATGTGCTGCACGACTACCACTGCCTCTTAAACAAAATAAAACACTTTTATGAAACTCGGGGGGGGGGGGATTATTTCTCCAGTCTGAAAACATAAACACTGGCATACTAAAATTAATATTCATCTGAAATTAAGCATGAAAGACTCCATATTGTGTAATTATTTGGAAAACTATCAAAAAAGTTGTAAAAATTTGAGATGGCCCCTTACTGTGCAGGGTATAATGGTATAATAATATTACCATGTTTGTGTGTTATTAATTGACCCATAAGTGACAAGGAGAGAGTTCACTCCTGAGTAAGGGATCATCTCATTTTACTCACATGTAAAATCAGTTATAATCAGAAGTCAGTTATAAGGAGAAGGTCACCTGCATTTATGAACGGGGAGAAGAAGGTCCTAATATGTGAGGGACTTTAATTTAACAACTGTTATTCAGAATGTGGTATATTCAAGTGTTTTTTTTTATGATTTTGGTTGGTATTTTTACTGCATTTCTGATGATTGTGACTTTTGTTATAATATAGAGACAAATTTTAGCGAGTTAAATTTTCTAACAGTAAAAAATATTTTCTATGGATTCTTACAATATAGTGTCGGAGACTTTCACAAAATCTTGTCTTCAAAAAAACCATAAAATTCTGAAATCACAAAAAGTTCCAGCGATGAAAATTGAAATGTTTACAGTAATCTTTCCAAAGGATGTGAAATTAAATGCAGTTGATCAATCCTCCTAACTTCCACACCTCCTTTTTTTCATTTTTTACTCTTGCCAGTGTCACCATGGTAACAGTTTGCTGAGAAAACCTGACAAAATATGTTGAAACAACAACCAAACAATCACGAATGTGTACGCATTGGTATGTCCCTGGACTAACAAAAAATGTCACGTTTTCAGGAATAGACATCAGAGCAAAAAAAAGTTTTTCCCATTCTGAGGCTTCTAATTCTTTGATCACCTGATTGAATGTGAGTGCTGGAACGTGGTAAACAAATACTCAAGAAATCTTTTCAATAGTATGCGTTACCATGACACTGACTTTTTTTCAACCAAATTAAATGTTAATTAAGGTGTTTTGGGTGCTGGTAACACTAAATAATGGTCCACCTCCCTTGGTTAAAAGTACCGACCCTCACACAACAAAGGGGAATCATTCAAGCGTAAAATTATGTACACTTCAACCCACCACTCAGCAGCTGTGGTACTCTTGTTTTTGATCGGGACTCATCTCAACGTGCGGTGTATTATTCTCGGTCACAATGCTTCCTTGCGCCTGATTACTGGCCCACTGTTACAACATTGTTGCCAAGATTTCCACTGAAGCATAACATGGGTTTTTTCAGTTATTTTTTTTTTCTGTACTGAGGCACGGACTGCGCCTGTTTAACTTTTCTGGACACGTTTCCTCAGTGCGGCATGCATGAAATATACCGGATTTGATGTGGAACCTTCTGTGGATTTATTAGAAGAGAAATACCAATACCCCCGAAACAATACGCTATTAAAGGTTTTTTTTTCTTCGTATCACGTGCGCATTATGCAAACATACGATTCCAAGCCGGAGATTTAGGCTTAGCTGTGATTCCTTTTCTATATTTGTATTTTGTATGTCGCATGTACAGAAAAAAAAAATACTGTTTTCTGACCCACTACAGACTCCTACCATTATAAACAAGGGCGTATAACCAAGGGCTTGCAAAGTCTGGAGTGATGTTTATTTTTCGTGATTTGAAAATAACTCAACATGGAGACTTTGTTCAAAATGATATATTATGGGATAGATGTGGTTAACGTCTAAACATACAAAAATTTCCAAAGCACTACAAATTCCTGATATTTTGTTGAGTGAAACCAACCAACAAATAAATGAAAACTAGGGGGACTCAAAGGTGTTTCCATGGAAACAATAACTTTGTGATTTCCCTACAACATTATAAGCTCTAACTTGGCAGCCATTTTGAATTGAAAATTGCTCACGTGACATAAAATTGATATTCATAAGTTTGTAGCAGAGTTTTTCATCTTGTCTTTGAACATACAAACATTCTTGGGAAATATTTAAAAAAAAAAAAAAGATAATATTAAACATGATTCAAAACACGCATATGATCTCATTAAATTTTGTTATAAAAATTTGGGTTCTGTGAACTGCTCAAATTTCCCCGCAAGACAAATTATGTTCTTTCATCAGTGAAATTTACTATGTGTACAAATTGTACAGGTGTTTTCAGTCGAGGAATCTCGTCGTCTTTCGTCAAATTAGCTTTTAAATCATCAACATTTTTTTGCCATACAAGTTTATATTGATGTTGTCTTCATTATCGTTAATGTTCCATGACTTGTCAGCTGAAAAGCAAGTGAACATGCCAAATTAAATTTTATTGCATTTTTGGAATTGTTCACATTGACATATTGGGCTGCCTAATGCAGCTACGGTTTTTTATTAATTAACTATAATGTATTAATAATTATGTACATTGACATTGTAACCTTTTAATAATTTATTCTTTGTAAAAATGAGAAATGTTATTCTTGTTAAATTTTGACAACTTTGACAAAAAAAAAAACACAACTTTATTATATCGTAAAAGATTGTGAGAATTACTGATGGTTCTGATGTGAACTTTTTAAGCATTGCTGTTTCAAAAAAAAAAAATTACAAAGCTATCCAATCAGTGATGGCGTATGTACATGTATATCGATGAAATGTACACTAGTTCAAAGTTTGTTATTCGTTCCAAATTGTTTATTTATGAATAATTAAATCATAGCCTCTAAGCATTGTAGTTGTGTTTCAAGTATTTTTAGGGTAGAGCTGAAAAAATAAACACTTTGTGCTGCAAGAAGGTGATAGACATTTCCACAATCCAATTTTGTCTTAGAGTTGTCATTTTTTTAAAGTTGTAGAAAAAATGCTTTTGTTTTGTTTGCTTTCTGCTTCTAGGTTTCCTTTTTAACATTTCATAAAATTTTTTATGCATCTCATTAATTTTTGACTTTGTCCTTTTTTTTCAGTTCCTCCATCATGTGCATCTCTGTCTGGCGAGGGCGCTGTAGTAGCAAACCAAAAATTCACCTTGACCTGTTCAGTTTGCAGCAGCAATCCCGCTGCAAGCATAATCTGGAAAAAAGGGAACAGCATAATCAGTGGTAGCGTGGCTGAAAACATTAAGGGGGCAACTTACAGGCGAGGGGAGGACAATGGAGAAGTGACCGAACAACAGTTAGAAATAACTGTGTCTCCATCGTACAATGGCGTGGAAATTCAGTGTTTTGGGAGAAATTTGGAATTCAGCGATGTTGAAGTGGCATCTCAGAAAGTACCTGTAGTAGTCTTCTGTAAGTACCACCCCCTCATTTATGTACCTTCCCATCCTATTTTAAATGAGATAGTCCGCTTTTCTTTACTTTATTGAGGCAGATCACTGGGGGGGGGACAAACAACATGGGATTAAATGCCTGGAGGTGAGTGTTTCAAACGATCAAAACCACATTGTTGCTGAAATTTGTGTTTTCTGTGTACTGATCTGTGTGTAAATTATCAAAATACACTTTATACAAGACATTCACCTGAGATGCAATGATATAACATGACCTCAATCAATTCCCACTAAAAAGTCTTCTAACAAAAGTTGTGAAAGTGAAAAAAAAACAAAAAAAAAACTTAGCTTGCTTTGTAACTATAATGTGTAGTTTATGTCTTGGCCTCCGGTACTTTATAAGGAGACTTGGACTGGACAAGAAGACCTGACTTGAACTTTGACCTCTTCGGTTCTTAAATGGCTGTTTCACTTGTTGAGCTTTCTGGGACAATCTTTTTTTTTTCTTCCTGACCCGCTAGGTTCAATTACTCTTGTTCTATTTCTTCTTTTGTCAAATGACAGGAGCCAAATTATCAGCAAACATTTTTTTCTATTTTATTTATACAATATTGTTAATTTTGATCCAGATAGACGTCATTTTCTATTTACTTTTTGATTTAACCTTTTTATCACAAATTCACAAAATAGGCTGTTTAACGTCTGAACTTTTCTTCAGAAGATTGGGGCAAAAATGGCAAAATTTTTTGAGTAAAAACTGAAAAGTCACTAAAATTTTGTCCGTTGGCTCCAAAATTAGGGTTCATTTCCAGAAATATTGAAGAATATAAGAAAAAAGTGCAGAATAATTTGGGTGCGAAAGTCTGGCAGTGAAAGATAAAAATTTATTTATCATAACTAATTTATCATCAAAGTTTAATAATTAGAGTCATCTATTGCTATGTTTGATATGGATCCCGTGCTAAACATGTAAAACTACTTCATTAGCATAGACGAAATTCAACCAATGATGATGAAACTTAAAATCAGATATATTCTAAAATTAGCTGAGTCCATGCAAAGCTATTTACAAGATTATGCGTGATTGGCTACCCTTACACTCACTCAGACCAATCAGAGAATAGCATATTTAATGACAGTATTTTTTTCCAATGTGTCAGATTTTGCCTTGTGTATACGCTTAACTCAACTGCATTTCTGCGAATATACTAATCCGAAATACAGAAAAAATAACTGCACTGTATCCGTAAATAGCGACATGTGTCGCTGATTTCATTGTTATCGCAATTAATTTTAATCATGAACATGTCAAGATAAAATCAGTGTTATGAATAGATAATTGTCGTAGAAGCCTAAATCATTCATGAACTTGATACCCCCTCCAGCATGTGTACTTTTAGTACCAGATGCTTCAGTTTGGTCGATATCATCATTTTTTTAACGAAAATGACAAATACGGAATTAAGTCCTGTATTGTGATGTGATAAATTTGACAGTCATACAAATGTATGTCGTGTTTATCTTGTAGCTTTTTAGTCGGTTATTGTCATCGCCTTTTCTATCCATTAGATCGCCATTTAGTGGTAGGACCAGAGGACAATAAATTTCAAATTGGACTTTTCATTGTAAATTACAACAAAGTGGTCGTCGTTTTTAATCTTGCAAATACGAACATGTGTCACTTCGCAATATTTTCACTGTATTGCATCATGGGAAATGGCGAAAATAGACACTTGCTTCGAACAAACTTTGAAAATGTTTAATCTAATGAATATAAACCAAAGACTTTGTATAAACATGTCATTTTGCAATGTTTTCACTCGGTTCCATGCACTGCATCATGGGAAAGAACAACACAATTTGATTCAAAAAAATATCTTTTTGTTTTCATGAGATACTTAACCAACTTTATTTCCATCTTGGCTTATAAATAACTCGCGTAGCAGGCAAGCAAGTTGAGGTAGTAAGCCATGGATAGCTGCAATATTTTGGTTCTTTAATTGTCCTTCACTTTGACAGTCTTATTGAAATTCTACTCAGAGATTAAAAAAACAATCACCGATTATCGAGGGATATCATCGGAAGAACCTCTGGATATTTGAGACAAATGCCATTATTAAACATTGAGGGTAAGGCAAGGAACTTTTGCGAAAGAAAACAAAGACCATCTTTAAATTGAGGATTCACCTGATGAGGTGAAAAAAAAACGAGCAAGTTAGGAGACACTTTAGACTAAAGAAAGCAAAATTTCTGATGTTCTTGTGTATTTAATATTCATTTCAACAGTGTCCAATGTTTGAAAAAAAAAAAATTGTCATTTTGTTTTTATTTTTCATACAGGAATACATAGAATATAGTTGATACATGTGATTAGGAGATATTCTCTTGATATTTAAAGCGTTGTAATAGATTCAAAGAATGTCTTTGTTTTTGAGAAAAAAACTGCCTCATTGCCAAGTATGGTTTGCAGAATGGAGAAATAACTTAAGAAATTAATTTACTTCAACAAAGTAATTTTGGTTTATGAATTTAAAAAATTTGGCAGGAACTCAGCTGATGGTCAGTTAGGCTATTTATTAGTACTGTGAGTGAAATGAAAATATAGGCTATAATAACAATATTTTATATTTTTGGAAAATGCAATTTTCAAATGACTTGTTTTTGCGATGACGAAAAATTTAATATTTTTTTTTAATTAATAGTCTGTATAGTTTTTATTTCTGTTTTTTCAGCTACCAAGAAACTATCCCAAACTATTTTCAATGAACTTATTACTTTGTTTGTTTAACACAGTCCTCCTGTTGAGTTCAATGTAATTGTTTCCAACATTTTGTTGTTGTTGTTTTTAATTAATTCATTCCAATAAATAAATGTTGACATTGACTTGCCGAAAAGAAAAAATCAATGTATATGTTAATAGTTTCAAAATTTTGTAAAAGTACATTTTGTAGCATTTTTTACTGGGGCTTGAAAAACGTTTTGTGTTGTTTTTTTTCAGTGCCAAGGAGTTTGAAAGTGTTCGACTGTTATTGATAACATTAAAAGCAGTCTATTTTATACATGAGTGTTCATGGCCCCCCAGGGCAAACAGTCACTGTTGAAAAAACAAACCCAATATTGACCACGTCCATTGCCAAAGTGTGAAGGACATGCAACTCTCTACACAATTTGAATAGATCAGCCACCCCTGGAGTTTGTTTTGTTTTTGTAATGGAATATTCCATGCCCATTGATCACAATAGGTTAACTCAAAGTGTGTGACATTTATAGGGGTGTGATGGGTAAAATCCCCTCTCCTTCCCCTCATATGCTACATTTTCATTCACCTGTACGTGTTGGTCATTGATAAAATGTAAAGGGATGAATGAATTGTGTTTTTATCCAAAATGTGCAAAAATAACACAACATTTTAAGTAACGGGTACAAATAAAAGTGCTACGATTTCACAACAGAATTTTTTTGGGAATTCAGTCAGTTAAGATCGTGAAATTTTGTAACAGTGAAAATGTCGACTCTCGCAACATTTTTTCTTCACAGACGTCATAAAATCAACCAATAACAAAATTCCTAGTGGTGAGAATTAAGTATTTTTTTTTATGTAGTTTCCTATCATTTTCCACTGAAAAAACAAATATTTAAAACTGTATATTGTTTTACTTTCAGTTCCACCAACCTACCCAGAAGGTTGCATCACATCTCTCACTGGGTATCGCGGCTCCCTCCGTGAAGGTGACAGTCTCACCTTAATGTGCACATCCTGTAGTAGCAGTCCGGCTGCTAGCATTCGATGGTACAGGGATGGTCAGGAGATCCCGGGGATGAACCAGGACATGCTGACTAGCGGTTTGTTTGGTGGGAAAGTCACTGCTCAGGAAATTACGCTGACTGTGTTTCGCGAGCACCACAATCACGATTACCATTGCAGTGCGTTCAACAACATGGTGCCAAACAGACCGGCTCCGTCCGAGGCCGTCAAGATACAAGTCCAATGTAAGTATTTAGTGTTACTTTTAGAGCAGCTGCCTTGTGTCTCTGTAAGATAACTTTTTCTTTTAAGTCAACCAATTTGGTCAAACAAAATTTTGCTTTAGGAGCTAAAAAAACCCTCAATTTTTCTTAAAAACTTCACTCATGCCTCAAAGCACCACAGACAGTAGGTAATGTGTTAACATCACTCCCATAACTCGCCACAAATCGAACTGCATGAAGACTATAGCGTTAAGGTGTTATGCCCACCCACCACCAGAGGGCACTGTATTCAATTTGAGCAGATTTACAGATTGTTCAATTTACCCAAAATGCATTGCAGATTCATAGATTATGGTAGAAGTTAGTGAATGTAATTGAAATAAAGTCGATGCAATCAATACGAAATTTAGAATTCAATATGGCGTCAAACATTTACCGCAAGATGGTACATTGAGCATGAAAAAAACAACAAAAAAACATTAATTTATCGTAACACATGGGTAGGAGTAGTGTTAAACAAAATAATATTGATTAAATTCAAGCTGTGTCCTTGGCTAGGAAGAGTTATTTTGTGTCAAATGCTTGACGCATATTGACATTCTCGACATCTGCGTGTATTGTTAATTTAGCAATTTAAACTTTTGCTCTATTCTCTCAAATCTCGCCTGTCCTGATTGGCTGAGAATTTCTTTCTCATAGTATTGCTGAGTGTATGACCCAATGAGGAGAAGCGTTACAATTAGTTTGACTTCTAAGAAGTGCCGACGAACACAATTTACAGCATGTGCTACTTTTATGAATAAATATGAGCTCTGCCTGTCGGGAAAACATTTCTGTTTGAATTGTGCAATTAGTCAATTTGGTTTCCACCTTTCGAGATGTTTTAATTTAATTTTGGTGTGATGATCATTGCACCACAATCCGGTTGTTGTGGGTCCCATATGGCATGTACACAAATTGGTGAAATTTGTATTCACACTATACCGGGGTATATCACTGTATGTTCTGCATTTGAGCTTTAGTTGTAACATTTGATGTATATTTTTGCTGTTTTGAAATTATTTGATCTGGAGGCTGCATCATGTTGCCTCTCACAAAATAAAACCTAAATCTTTTGAAATTTTTAATCACAACCATTAATTATTTATAATTATCCAAAATTGACAACAAAATTATGGAAAATGCCTAGAATTGGCAAAATAAATCTCCAAAATGTTGTCGTAAAAAAATAATTCTAAGGATTAAAATTTGGCAGTGTGTTACGATTAAAAAAAGACGCAGTTTCATTATTGAGCAACCAAAGTAAAAAGCGTCTTTGTTTTGATTTATTTTTTCATTTGATGTGATTGTTTGGAGTACGACTCTCTCAAAATTGCAATCATGATAACTGTCATCTTGAAGTCAGTGTGAGTTGCAGGCATGCAGTTTTGATGATGTCACAAACTACCGATAATATACATTACAATAAACTGCCGAAATAAATTATCTGAAAAAATATTCTATGATTTTCTAGTATGGCAGGCCCTGTGAAGTTAACAAAATTTATGTTTTATTGAAATTTATAATAATGATCGATTGATAATTATTACCCAGGCAAAGTGGTTGTAATAGTTATCAATTTTTATTAACTAGCAATATTAACTAAATTTACCTAGTCTTGTCTTGGAGCGTATTATGTGAAGGTGTATGTCATTTGTGACCAGACATTCAACAAAAAAATCATCGCATTTTATTTTATCATTTTTTTGGAATTTCTGATCCTTCATCACCATTATAGTATATGGCGGTGTAATATTACCGGTACACGGTATATGACGTTGATTTCATGATGACTAAATCGTTGCTTCTACTGCAGCTGCAGATTTTTGGAATTATAAAATTAGTTCCCGTAATCTCATATAAATGAAAAAATAAAACAATGTAATTAAAAAATTTAATTATCAATAAAAATTGCATTAATAATATGATAAAAAATCTTGGATGATCCGTTTTTTATATATATATTTTTTTATATATTGTGGGTTTTTAATTTCTACATCTTGATTTTACTTTCAGATAAACCGCAAGTCATCAACACTGAATTCAACCGCATGGCGGCAGCAAATAGCGGTGAGGAAACCCGACTGATCTGTCAGACCAACTCAAATCCCGCTCCGCAGGTGTACTGGTTCCATGGCAACCGACGGATCATAAGTGATGGAGTACATTTCACGGTCACCATGGTAACAGATGATTCCATCACCACCAGCGTGCTATACATTAATAGTGTGGAACCGTTGAGGGACTATGGAACCTACAACTGTACTGTCAATAATACGATGGGTATGGACAGTACGAACGTTTTTTTGGAGGGCAAAAGTAAGTGTAAGTGAAAAATCATGACAGAATTACGTTAGTTTCAGTTTGGACCCCTTAAGTAGAGTAAAATTAGAAAAAATTCTCTTCTGTCATCTCGTGTAAGTAAATAACTATCTATCTTTTTAGATTTTTTTTCCACTCTTCTCAATTTTTCCAAACTTTAGTCTTCCGCCAAAATATGTCTATCTTGATATATTTCAAATTTATGAAATTTATATGGCTTTGGTTTCCGTGGTAACATTTTGAAGTTTTTTGGATCAGTTTCAACACTTAGAATTAGAAATATTGTCAGTGATATTTTTTATCTTGAGTAAATTTTCAAATTTTGTGTATGTTGACAATTTGGTTGAATATTAAATATTTGAATAATTTCTGTTTGGATATTTGATATTTTTTGACGTTCGGTGCATGTTTGGGTAGCACAAACCGATGACTACCAAGTATGGTCAATCTGTTATTTAGTGAGGAACCGATTACTGAAATTCTAAAAAAAAATGCCATGTTGGTCAACTACAGTTTTGGCGGGAGAATATAGTTAACCAGATATTTATTTTTTATAATGCATTTTCCAGACTTCTCTAGAATAGTGAAGTAGTTTTATATATTATTAGAATTATTTATTTTGTATTTTCTTATAGTTCACTTTTTACAGAAAACAAAACAAAATTGATTCCCATCACATGTTTAAATCGTTCATTTTGACACATTTTTTATCAATTCAAAATAAAAATTCAACACAAATTTGTTAAAAATATTTTTTTTCTTTATTTTTGTATTTATTTGTTGACAAAATTATAGAATTATTGTTATTATTTCTGTTTGCTATCAAGGGCAAGCACACTATTTTTTTTTTTACAAAGATGTATTTTGTGAAGTGTGTGCACTTGTTTAATAACCATTTTGTTTAATCATAACAACATATGTTGTTTGAAAATTAATTTTGTTCTGTTGTTTAATTATAAAATTCCAATCAAATTTCACACAATTAATCTAGTATTGTGGATATTTAAATTTATACCAGGCAATCCATATTTGTCTACCGTATTTCAATTCAACCTGACCCTTGAAATTTTGTTTCTCATTTTTTTTTTACATTTTGCTACAAATTTATTTAAATTTTTGATTAATTTGGATTATTAACTTTTTTAAATCTTGATGAAAATTATTGATAAAATATGCAAATTACTGTAAATTTTTTTTTTTTTTTTAATTTATTTTCGCTAATATTGTTGAAAGAATGATTCATTTAAAATAAAATC